TCAATCTTTTCTAAAGGAAGATTTATACATCAAAAACTAGAGATATAAATGTCATAATATATACATCATTTTCTGAACCCTACAGTAATCTGTAATGTTTGTTTGTATACACCAATCTTAGATTACCTAAAACATAATAAAGTTTTTTAGTGTTATATTTTACATACAAAAGTTCAAAATATATCCAGATGGACAGGAACTATGGCTGCCACTTTAAAAAAACAAATGATTGGCCGGACATGGAATCTCATGCCCGTAATCCTGGCACTTTGGGAGGCTGAGACTGGTACACCACTTGAGGGCAGAAGTGTGAGACCAGCCTGGCAAATACAGTGAAACCCTGTCTCTTCTAAAAATACAAAAAGTAGCCAGGTGTGGTGGCACACACCTGTAGTTTCAGCTACTCTAGAGGCTGAGGCAGGAGAATTAATTGAACCCGGGAGACGGTGGTTGCAGTGAGCCCAGATCGTACCACTGCACTCCAGCCTGAGCGACAGAGCAAGGCTTCATCTCAAATAAATGAATAAATAAATAAATAAATAAATAAATAAATAAAAACAAATGATTTAGCACAAAAAGAACTTGAAATAGTAAACTAAACGGTGACAGTTTAGATTAAAAACATGAGAAATTACTTTTTATTTGCACTTATGCTTGCATTTATGCTTAATTACCTTTATTCATTTGGGAACATGTAGGAAATGATGTGGTGGTAACTTGCTGGGTGGTGACTAGGACAGTATTTACTGTCCTAGGGATGGTGAGATCCAGTGGACCAGAATTGTCAGCACCTCACCATGTTCCCTGCTGTCTTTTCTCTCTGTGACTAAGATTCCTGAGAGAGGAAGGGAAGGCAAGGGGAGGGGAGGGGAGGGGAGGAGGGGGAAAGGAGGGGAGGGGAGGGGAAGGGAACAGGAGGGAGGAAACAGAGCAACTCACCATTGCACCTCCCATGCTGGTCAGAAAATCTATTTATGGTGGGCCTACTGTGTGTTGCTTGGAGACTGCATGACATGTTCATAACTGCCCTCAAGATGCCATCAATAGGGGAGCCAGATAAGTTAGCAATAATTAGCATGCATGAGCTGCTATTCTCTGCTTTAGAGGCTGCTCCTCTTACTTGGTATCTACTTTTAAGGAAAATGATCCATCTCTAAAGATTTCTATTTACTGAAAGAAAACAGAACATGATGGACTGTTCTGGTACACAGCTTCTTTTAAGTTATGGAAAGATGTTCATGGTAGACTGTGTTCAGTGAAAAAATGGTATGCCATGCATGCTCGAAGTTGTGAAAAATATACACTTTAGGAAAGGGTTATATCAAAATGTCACAGTGTTTGGTTGTCTCTGAGTGATGATGAGTCTTAATGATACAGGAAGTAGAATAAAATTATTTGATGGATAGTGAGCATAAAAGAATACTTGGTAGAGCTGCCCTTTAGCAAGAGAGCCAAATAAATTTTTTTCTTACTAGCAAAGATCGGCCTGAAAAATGGAGCTGCAAACATAGATAAGCAAGCTGAAAGCTTGGAAGGGTGAATGCTGGCAGCTGTGCCAATAGAAAAGGGCTGTGAGCCAGGCATGTCCAACATGGAGGTTCCGTTTTTGTTGTTGTTGTTGTTACTACATGTACAGTAAAGAAATAGGCAATATGGTGCAGCTCAGGAAGAAGACCTGCTTACATAATATAAGATTAGGGTGGGAGTGGACACAAATTTTCACCCTATGCAAATTTTCCATTATCCATGCAAATGACATATCTCTAACCAATTTTTCATGCTCCATGCAAATGACACACCTGGTCCAACCAATCTTTCATGCCCTATGTAAATCAAACACCGCCCCCCTCATCAGGCATCTATAAAATCCCCTGCATTTCACTGTGGATCCTGCAGCTCATTTGGGACCTCTCTCTCTGCAGCGGAGGGAGCTTGTCTCTTTCTTCCACCTATTAGACTTCTGCTCTTAACCTCACTCTTGTGTGTCCATATCCTAGTTTTTTATGGCCATTAGACAACAAATCTCAGGTATCACCCCAGAAGAACAAGGCTGCTTCATTAGGTTCCTGGAAAATGACACTGAACCCCTGTCCTGGGGAAGGCAGACAGGATGCCCATCCAAGGTCATGGATTCATTCCTAGCTTGTCTTCTACTTACCATAAAAACAAGACTAGCTGATATTACTGAGCACTAACTATGAGCCAAGCATGGTTGCTAAGCAAATTACATAATAACTCATTTAATTCTCCCTCAGCAACTCCGGTAGGCCTAGCTGATTCCAGTGCTTGTTTTCCATTGTTTCTCCAAGTGTGGCAGCATTTAGGAGAATTGTTTACTTTCTTTTTAGGTTTGAATACTGTTTTTTATCTATGAAAAAGGATACTCTGATTTCTCCTAAATGATTCATACATTTAAACGTTGTTGCAATATCCAGTTATTTCTTTTCACTGGAAGGAAAGGAGGCATGCAGTTTTATTTCTGTCAGCATGCTCAGGGCCACAAAGGTGTGGACACCTAGGAGCCAGGGTCATTTTTTGAGGACAATGAGAGTCATTGAAAGGCACAAGCAGGTGAGGGACAGATTGGGGTGCTGGTTTGAAAGCGCAATATGGAGCTTCCTAAGGTGCAGGCAGCTTGGAGGCAGAGAGGCAAGTGAGAGGCAGGAGTAGCAGCCCAGGCTGTCACCGAGGAGGGGACAATGTAGCAAAAATGGAGAAATGCACATGGGTCTGAAAGGTTTAGATAAATGTGGATTTCAGCACCTCCTCTCCCACACCCCACTTTTCAGCTGTGAACCTGGGACAAGGCACTCCTTTCTGTGTCTTTATGACTTAGCTGAGGTGACCACTAAATAGGAAAAGTGTCTGACTGGTGACACATAATAAGTAGCTGCAAGTGGTAGCTTTCTTCCCCATTCACTTGAAGCAGAAATTGGTGACCAGTTTTTCCCTCTGAGTTGTCCAGCTGGCACCAGAGAAATTCTGAGGCTGCTTGTTCAGACAGGACCACCATGCCTGGGCAGCATGGCAAATCTGATCCTTGGGCCAGTTTGGAAAAGGTTGGGAAGGAGACAGAGTCAGAAAAACTGGGCCAGATGCCTGTATTCCAATTTATACCCAGGCCTAGGCCCCTCTGGTTCTGGCTGTGCTGTGCCTGTCTGGGTCCTGAGCCAAGTAATACTTGGTCCTTACCCTCAGGAAGGTCACCATAGACCAAGGAAAACTCACCAATACAGCCACTGGGTAATACCAGAGAATACCCAAGCCATCTTCTCATGCCGAGGCCTTATTAAATCCCAGTGGCTACTCTGGGAGAGAGGTGCCATTGTCTCCATTTTAAAGATAAGGAAACTGCAGCTTACAGAGAGATATGGCCAGAGTTGTCCAGCGTGGGAGTGGCTGAGGCAGAACCGAAGTCATAACTTGCCCAGCTGCAAGGCTTGAGTTTTCAGCCTAGCTCAGAAGACATCATCCTGCCCAGGCCCGGATGCAACCTCACCCACCTGTGACTCATTTCTGGGACAACCGGAAGGAATAGGAGGCTCTATTTTGAGCAAGGGAGAGCCCATGCCAAGCACAGCTACCTGCCCCTGCAGAAATGAGTGGGGCTGAAAGCTTCATGGTTTCCAGCTTTTCATATCTACCCTGAGCCAACAAAGGCTTGTGGCTGTTGGCACACAGGTAAATTGTCCAACCTCCAGATGGAGCAGAGCAATGGTGAAGGAAGCCTGCTGGTTCTTGTCTCAGCTCAGCCACTTCTGAGCTCTGTAGTCTTGCACCAGCCTTTGCCCCATCACTGAGACTGTTTCCTTTTTTTTTTTTTTTTTTTGAGACGGAGTCTCGCTGTGGCCCAGGCTGGAGTGCAGTGGCCGGATCTCAGCTCACTGCAAGCTCCGCCTCCCGGGTTCACGCCATTCTCCTGCCTCAGCCTCCGGAGTAGCTGGGACTACAGGCACCCGCCACCTCGCCCGGCTGGTTTTTTGTATTTTTTTTAGTAGAGACGGGGTTTCACCGTGTTAGCCAGGATGGTCTCGATCTCCCGACCTCGTGATCCGCCCGACTGAGACTGTTTTCTGCCTTACAATGGGGACACTGATACAAACCACATACACAATGTGGTTGAAAAGAGATAACGGGTAAAATGACCTCACCTGCCAGGGATTCCATGCTCAGAGAACTCTCCTGCTCTTGGGTGGAATATTTCCTCAGAGAAATAGAGCTTGGGGGTCAGGGACATGGGCCCTGCCACTGACCTGCTCTGTGACTCTGAGACAGTGGCTTCCTCTCTCTGAGTTCAGATCCACACTGGGCAGGCTGCTCTGATCTCCTGTGTCCCTATGATGGGAAGGGAGTTGGTCCTCCCCAGCTTGTCAGGGAAGGGTTGGCCATGGCTGAGGGCAATCTGGCCCCAGTGCCCTGGCTTATTGGAACAGCAGTAAAAGGCAAACACAAAACCCAGACCACAGGTGACCAGGGAACCTGCTCTCCTTGACTCACAAGGATATGTTGTGATTGAACCTGTGACTCTGTCCACATGCTGCTCCTCTGCAGGGATGCTGCTGTTCACTCCTACTCTACTGAGACAGGCAGATATCCTCGCATGGGAGAATTTCTCTCTCTCTCTCTCTCACACTCTCTCTCTCTCTCTCTCACACACACACCCCTAACCTGCTTCCCCCAGGCTCGTAAATCACCTGTCCACAAAAGCTGCCTTCAGCAGCCCCTTAGCCTGTGAGCTGCCCTCATCTCCCTCACAGCCCTGAGTGAGGGTGCGCAGCCTCCTTGGGCAAGAGGATGGAGGCTCTGGGAGACTGCGTCGCACATCTCCAGTCCCCAGAGCGAGGCCTCTCACCTGTTGGGGCAGTGACCGGGGTCTGAAGCACCTCAGTGCTGCTCATGATTGCAGAGGATGTCCTCACCAGATAGGGGGTCCTGGAGGGCCTGGGGGATTGGTCTCTGACTGCCAGCAAAAGAAGCTGACATCGAGGCAGCAGGCGACAAACACGGAGGCAACTGACTTGCCCGACTTTAACCCTCAGGTTTTTAAAATAAAATGCAAATGTAGGGGCTTGGGCTCAGGACTCCTGGAGCCCCGTGGGGCTGAGCGTGGATGGTGTTCGGTGTCCGGCTTCACTCCCAAACCGCACCTGGAGCGTTTGCCGGGCGGAGGGGCCCCAGGGGGACGGTTCCCGAACAAACCCAGGCGGCTTCGGTCAGCAGCAGCCCCGCTGCTTTTCCACAGCGCGGGGACCCCCATCCCCGCCAGCCCCATCGCACTGTCCCTCTCAGGTCAGAGGAGCCCATGGAGGACTGCGTGGCATCAGGACCTGCCAGGAGCCAGGGCGACCTAGAAGAATCCGGGAACCTGGCGTCCAGCGAGGACGCAGCCCCCGGAGAGGAGAGGCCACCCAAGCAGGAGTGAGAAGGGGCTCCGCGCTGCTGGGCGCCCGTGGGAGCTGCAGGGCCCTGCCAGATGACCCCGGGTCCGGACCCTCCGCACCAGGTGTCGGGGCGGAGGGGACGCGGTGGGTGCGGCTCAGGCACCGGCGGGCGAGAGCCTGGACACCGCCGGGAGCCCGACCTCCTGGCCCTTTGCGGGAGGGGAGCGGGGCCAAGGAACAGTGCCAGCCCCTCACCACAAGCCGGCGACCCCATGACTCCAGGGGCTGCCGCCTCCAGCAGGTGAGCTCAGCCCGGGCGTCCCCTCCGCAACAAGGCCCGGATCCCTGCCTGGCTCCTGGAGCCCGAACTGTGCCTTCCGCAAAAGGGCTGCGCTCCAGATACAAGAAACGTTCTTCGCTCCCTGCTTTGTGGGCACTCGGTTCCTTGTAGGCGGTTCTGCTTGGCCCCTTGCCCTTATTAACCTTGACCGCGGCGGCTGGGTGGACGGGGGCTGGACACCCTGAGCTCCACCCGAGTTTTCTCTTGCTGGGTGACTTGGGCTCTGGCACTCAGGACCTCCGTTTCCCTGGCAGATAGATGAACATTGCTTGAGCCACTTTGTGTTCAGACGGTTTCTTCTTTTCAGAAAGTGGCCCCCACAGTGCCCTTCCCGGCAGCATGGAGTCGACAGCGGCAGCGTTTCTATCCCGCTCTGCGGGGCTGGGTGTGAAGGGGACTGTCCCATCCCGCTGTCCTCCAGGAGCGGCACCTTTCTCTCCGCAGACTTTGCTGAAGACGCGGCCCCCTGGTCAGGGGCAGAACACAGATCCAGGCCGCCCCGCTCCTGCTGGGTGGTGGAGAAGGAGGGCGGGCAGGTGCTAAGTGCTACTGTGAAACTAAAAATCATCATAATGAAGAAAGAATGGGTTTCGTATCTCTTAATTCTCACCATCAATAGGGTATTCATGGGCCCATTTGACAGAGGAGGAAGCCATCTGGAGAAGTTCCCTTCCTTGAGAGCCAGGCCGTTCCGTTCCCTGTCCAGCCCCGTGTCACCTGCTTCCCTTACAGCTTGCCCTCTCCCCCTCTCATCTTCAGAACACGCTTCCCCATGGGGGCAGGGATTTGAGCTCAGAGGTGTTGAGCAGCCTGTGCGAGGCCACAGAGCTCACGGGAGGAAGGACCCCCATAGTGACAGGGACAGCTGAGGAGGGAGCGCCCTCCTCTGGCTGGAGGGTGGGGTAGCAGCAGCTGCCAGGCTTCAGGGAATGGGGTGAAATGAGGGCCCTAGGGGCTCCCCAGGTGGAAGCACAGGTCTGGCAGAGGTTCCCAGGTGACTGGAGTTTAAGTGAGCGTCAGGGAGGTGTGTGAGGAAGGTGGAGATAGGTCCCACTCGGGCAGGTCCTGCCTGAGTACCAGCATTGGGGCTGGATCTTAACAGGGATGGGGGAATTTTCTGCCTGCCCTGGGGCTGGGGTTATGCCCTCATGGCAGGTAGTGCTTCCTGCTTCCCCCATCAGGATGCAAGTTCTGGAGTCGCACAGGGTGAGGAACCAGTGACCCACCTGACCACCCCTCTGAAATGGGTCAAGGGGAACCCTGGGGCAGGACACCCTGCTGAGAGTCAGAGCCCTGAACTATGAAGAAGAAGAAAGAAGGAAGGAGAAGGAGGAGGAGGAGGAGGAGGAGGAGGAGGAGGAGGAGGAGGAGGAGGAGAAGGAGAAGGAGAAGGAGAAGGAGAAGGAGAAGACGACCGGGCACGGTGGCTCATGCTTGTAATCCCAGCACTTCCGGAGGCCGAGGCGGATGGATCACGAGGTTAGGAGTTCAAGACCAGCCTGGCCAACATAGTGAAACCTTGTCTTTACTGAAAATACAAAAAGATTAGCTGGATGTAATGGTGGGCGCCTGTAACCCCAGCTACTTGGGAGGAGAATCACTTGAACCCAGGAGGCAGAGGTTGCAGTGAGCTGAGATCGCACCACTGCACTCCAGCCTGTGCAACAGAGCTAGACTCCATCTCAAAAACAAACAAACAACAACAAAAAACACTGCACAATGGAGGTCTATACAGGGCCACATGGAAGAAGGGAGACCCACATGGAAGGAGATGATCATGAGGCCAGGTGAGAACATGCAAAGGGCAATTGCAGGGGCTGGTCTGAGGTGTGGGAGGAATTAAGTCAGTAAGGCAGGCTGTGCATTTTAGAGAAAGCTGCCTGTGTCAAAGGCTTACAGGTGCACACATTCACAGCATGGCCTCCACTTCATACATCAGAAAATAATGATAGACCTAGCTTTGCACACACACAGGGATTTGACCCAGGTGAGACCTTAATCCAAATCCAGTACCACCCATGGAAAAGTATCTCCCTAAGGGCCCCAGTGTCCTTGGGACATAATACTTTTGCGAGGAATAAGTAAAGGGACATCTGTAAAGTTTTTGGTGTCATGGCCAGCCTGGTAAGTGCCCAGCACCCATCTGCTGCCACTATCATAATGTGTGCAGGCCAAGGAAGAAATGGACAGGAGACTTCCACATGGGGACCATGCTCATCTCTGGGAGGCAACATTGGTGATGATGTGTGTTTTCCATTTTCATTCTCTTCTGTGGTTTCCTCCTTGTACCACAATGAGCAGAAATTACTGTTTTGACGGAAAGTAAAAAGTATCATATGTCACCTTATGCAGGTGTGCCCAGATGTGAGTTCCTTTTGCATTAAGGACTCCACTGTACCTGGCTTTGGTTAAGATCCTTCACCATCTTGGCCTCAGTCTCTTCCACTGTACCGTAGAGATTGGGGATTACCTCAGACAGCTGATGTGTGAGGGTTACATGAGATGACAGTGGCTGAGTTTGTGAGTGCACATTGACTTTGCAGGCTCAGTACCACTGCATCAGATTATAATGGAAGATTTCTTAGCTCTGCACCAGGTGCCCAGTAAACATGTAGCGATTGTCAGGTTATATTAGTAGAGTTACATTTTCTCCACCAAGTGCAAATTCAGTTTCTTCTTCTGTGCCTTTTGTGACAGTGAGCTCACTTATCTTACTTTCCAGATGCAGCAGAAATGCCTACATTCGGTCCAGCTCCATTCTGCATACTGACATGTCTACCCCACCCCACTTTAATGAGAAAACCAGCTCAGTAAGGTGAAGTAACTTCCCAGGGGTCACACAGCAAGCAACAGTTCATCAAATGCCCCAGGCTCATTCAACTGAGTAGAGGAGGCCCCATCAGAGCCTACTGTGTGCTGAGCTGGGCCTGTGAACCTTGTTTCTTCCTGAAAGCCGCTCTGCAACAGACGACTGTGTCCTCATTGAATAGGTGAGGAAGGAAGCTGCCTTGCAGAGGTGGAAATCCAGAGAACCTAGTCAGCGTCAGTGTGGTTTCTCCCACCTAAGCCTGCATAATTGTCACAGTAGCTACCTTTCTGGTCTCAGTCTCCCTGCTTCTGCCCAAGGCCCCTGCAGTCTTTTCTGACCTCAGCGGTAAGCCAGAGTGATTTGTTTAAACCAAGATTGCAGTCCTGTGAGAATTTGAGTAATGGAAACCATGCCAGTCTAGGAAGAAGAGTGCATCAAGATCTGATCTGGGCCTTCCCTTTCCTTCTAACTTTCTCATCTCCTCCATTCCCTCCCAGTTGATGTCTGCTTTGGTCAATGGTACTGTGGCCCCAGCACCACGTTACCCATCTTTAGAAGCTTTTCCGTGGGCGGGCTTCTCATATCCAGTAAACCTTTTGTGACCCTATCTCTCCCCTATCACCAAACCCCAGATCCCCTCTTATGCCTCCTCACTTCCTCTCCTTCTCTCCTGTAATTGCTTCTCCCTCTAGTCTCAGTATTAACCCAGGGCAACCTAGAGGTCTGGAGGTGTAGGTGCGAAGTGACCCTGGGATGAACACACACAGATTCATGAGACTCTGCAATTCCTAGAGGGTAGAGAGTGGGACCTGGTATCACCAACGTGAGGACTTTCCCACAGGACAGGTGACTTAATGAGTAGCAAATGTGACCAAGAGATACCATTTTACCAGGCAGACAGTGAAGGGGCAGAAGAGAGGAGGGCTGGAAGAACCTTTTCTGTTTTCTCCCTGATTCATTTATCTCTGTCCTAACCGAAGACCTGCAGGAGAGGCAGTGACTTGCCTAAGGTCACAGCACCTTGGAGGAGACAAAGCCAGGACTACAGAGAGAGCTTGGGGAGGCATTGGGTCTCTGTTGACGATTCCTAACGCTGGCTCATCCCTGCCTTATCTTGGGGTAGTGGGACTATCCCGTGGATCCCCCAGAGAAGACAGGCGAGAGTCCAACGCCAACACATGTCCACAAAGGTCCCCTGGTCCACGAAGCGGGAGAAACTTGTCACCAGGCAAAGGTGGCATACACTGAGACGCGAGGTAAGGCTCACTGCTCGCGACAGGTGTCCCGCGACTGGCGCATGCGCATCCGCGAGGCAGGAGCCGGGACCAGGCTGTCAGGGCTGTCAGCCTGCCTGAGCAGAGGAAAATGGGACAGGCAAAGTCGGCCTAGTCTCGGGAAAAAGCTGCCTGCAACAATGACTGTGGAAGCCTAAAAGTAACGACCATACGGCATCCTTGGGCCGTCTCATTAGTCGGGTCCCGCTGGAGGAAGAGGCGATTCCAGTGGGCTCTGGGAACAGCTCTTTGGACTCCATTCCCGAAAGAGTCTGTGTGCAAGAATCCGGTCCCAGGAAGAAGGGAATACAGTCTGGTGAGTTGTTGAGGGATCTCCGGGTGATGGAATCACACCTGAGACCCCAGAGGAGAGTGTCAGCGGAAGATTGCGGGGCCCTTGAACTCACTGTCTCCCTTCATCCAGGGCCTCCCAGGAGCTCCTGCTTCTCAGTACGGCTGTCTGGGTTAGGGAGAAACGACAATAAAGGCAAGTCCAAGGTGGAGAAGAGGTCTCACACCTGGAACTGGCATCCAACAAGGGCACACAGGGTTGAGAGAGTGTTTCATAAACCGTCTGGTGTGATTGCAAGCCTGAAAAGGGTGCCCAGGAGTGCTGTTGAGGGGCACTGTGGATTCCCCATGAAAGCAAAGGGAAATAAAGGCTCAAATGGGAGAATGAGAGGGTTTGTGCTGGAGTCAAACCCAAGTTCGTGGATTCTTGCCAGAGGACCCAAGAGACTCGTGTAAAGTGCAAAAAACCCCAGCCCCCAAAATGAGACCACCACCCACAACCTGGAGGGCAGTCAAACTACCGAAAATCCCTTGAGCTCACTAAAATCCCTGGCAAGCAAAAGATCTGTGGCGAGAGGCAGTCACACCCAGCCCAAGAAGAACCAACTCCACAATGAGAAAAGACATGCAGATGAAACGAAAGAGAGCCTAGATTACCAGGTAAAAACCAGACTTGGCTGCCTAGGTCTCATCATATAGGAATCATGCTGTACTCCTATAGAAGTGGGAGAACAAGAGTTTCATTGTTGGCAGATATAACGGGAATTTACTGTTCCAAAAGTATCACAGCTGCCTAGTCCTTAAAACCTGACAGTGTTTAGAAGAAAACAGTCATACAATGGTCCCCGTGAGGGTCGTCCTCCGTGAACAGCGAAACGTTGACTGTGGAAGTCTTTGAGCCAGACCCAGGAAACCCTAGGCCCACCAGAAACATGGAAGTCAGGAAAAGAGGAGGCCGGTGTGCAGGGCACATCCCAGCCAGCCTCAGTCCATCCCACTCCCATGTGTTTCCGGAATGACAGCCAAAATTGGGAGCTGGCCAGAATGGCCCAGGTTTGCGCTCCAACTGTTCCCCGGGATGTTGGAGTCCTCCCACCTGGGCACTGGGCTATGGTGTGGACGGCCTGTGCGATGAAGGGAACGCAGGGGTGGAGTGGGAAGTACCTTCTGTATCATCTGTTGAAGGGGGCCAGGCCTCCACACCTGTGGGTATTTCTCCTCAGGTAGGATGAGAGACTGAGAAAAGAAATAAGACACAGAGACAAAGTATAGAGAAAGAACAGGGGACCCAGGGGACCTGCGCTCAGCATATGGAGGACCTGCACCATCACTGGTCTCTGAGTTCCCTCAGTATTTATTATTATTTCCACTATCTCAGCAAGGGAAATGCAGCAGGAGAGCAGGGTGATAGTGGGGAGAAGGTCAGCAAGAAAACATGTGAGCAAAGGAATCTGTGTCACAAATAAGTTCAAGGGAAGGAACTATGCCTAGATGTGCTCGTAGGCCAGATTTGTGCTTTTCTCCACCCAAACATCTCAGTGGAGTAAAGAGTAACAAAGCAGCATTACTGCCAACATGTCTCGCTTCCTGCCACAAGGCAGTTTTTCTCCTATCTCAGAACTGAACAAATGTACAATCGGGTTTTATACCGAGACATTCCATTCCCAGGAGCAGGCAGAAGACAGAGGCCTTACTCTTATCTCAACTGCAAGAGGCCTTCCTCTTTTACTAATCCTCCTCAGCACAGACCCTTCACGGATGTCAGACTGGGGGCCGGTCAGGTCTTTCCCATCCCACAAGGCCTTATCGCAGGCTATCACATGGGGAGAAACCTTGGACAATACCTGGCTTTCCAGGGCAGAGGTCCCTGTGGCTTTTTCGCAGTGCATTGTGCCCCTGGTTTATTGAGAATGGAGAATGGAGATGACTTTTACCAAGCATACTGCCTGTAGACATTTTGTTAACAAAGCACATCTTGCATAGCCCCAGATCCCTTAAACCTTGATTCCACACAATACATGTTTCTGTGAGCTCACAGTTGGGGCTAAAGTTACAGATTAACAGCATCTCAGGGCAAAGCAATTGTTCAAGGTACAAGTCAAAATGAAGTTTCTTGTCTTCCTTTTCTACATAGACACAGTAGCAGTCTGATCTCTCTTTCTTTTCCCTACATATCCCCCTTTTCTTTTTGACAAAACCGCCATTGTCATCATGGCCCGTTCTCGCTGGTCACTGTCTCTTCGGAGCTGCTGGATACACCTGTAGACTAACAACAGACAGAACAGACATACAAGGATTAATATGAAACTTACAATAGTGGAACGCCTGATGGTTTTAACCCAAGTGACAGTGCTAAGATTTGTGAGGCCATCAGCAGCTTTGACGATTGCCTGTTTCTGGCACCAGCTTTAAATGGGCTTTTGATACCTCAAAAATTTGTCATTTTAATTTTGAAATATCCAAAGTAAGATTATCTTTTCTTCCTTGTAGATGGCGTCCAACCATGTCCCAGTGATGTTCAGACTCATTATAGGCTTGGGCTGTAGTACAAAAATCTGACATATTCCAGTCACACTGTAACTGAAAAAGATATTCCAAGCTCATGAGCCTATCTCCCATCCAAATGACGGTTTGTCTAAGATCATTAATTTGGTTTGCCAATTTTTGATCTATTTGGGTCTGAGAATTCCACAATTTTGAGGAATTCTTTTGCCAATTATTTACATATTCTGCAGTTTGAACAGAGGAGTATAAAGCAATTCCAGCAGCCGCAGCAGTAGCTGTGACTGCAATAAGACCCACAATCACTGCAGTTAAAGTAAAAATGAATCTTTTGGATCTAGTTAGAACTCTTTTTAATACTTCTGTTATAATATGGACAGATGGGGAAGCCTCCCACGGTTGGTCCATGGACACACGGATTCACACGCCCTCTCTTGCCCTCACCAGCAGAATATGGTGCTGCCAATCAAAAGTCGAATCAATGCAAGTAAGCAATCTACAATTTTCACAGGCTATAGTTTGGGAATCTCGTTTAATAACTATGTTTCTTACAACTAGCATATGAGGAGGTTTTACACAACTTTGCAAAGGAATTGTCAGATTGGAATTTAGGTTAGTAGTATAATATGGCTTATGATCTCTTGTTCCTATAGCTTGATTTCCAGACAAAATTCTAATGTGGTTCGAGGCCACAGTAAGCTTCCATAATTCCGGATGTTCAGGACCAGTAGCAGAACTAACTAACTTTGGTCGAGGTGATGAAATTCCCTTTTCACCCCATTTCCATGGATAGGGTGATTTTAACTTTCTGTAAACCTGGTCCAGTCTTTTAGTTAAATCACTATCATAGGCTGGATTAGCGGGCCAGATGGATAGGGCCTGTGAACATGAGTGAGTCTGTCCCATACAATTATAATAAAATTGGCCTCGAGGGGCCCAGTCTATAATAGTTCCAAATTCATTGTTTCGTAATACCACCTCAGTATCAGCCACACATTCTTCCCAAACTAAAACTTCTGGGCTTTTTGATTCTTTGGGAATTTTCTTGGGGCAAAGCTTCCTCTTAGGCCTAAATTTTAATGATCTTTGATAAGAAGAGTCCTGTAAGTTATTCATCTGTGGCCCGAGTGACATTCCACTTATCATGTGATAGGTAAATCTACTGGTGGCACTGACAGTAGGTACTTCTACCAACCAATTTTGGGTTGTAGACATTAAACATCCTGGTGCCTTCCCTAGGCAAATAGGAGGATAATGATACCCAGTGGAAATATTTGTCATCATTCCTTCTTCAGGTTGGGCAGGGCAACTATCATCTGTGAGGCCTGGTACCCATGCACTATTATTAACATATACTTCGATAAGATTATCCATTCATGTGACTGCCTGAATTAAGGGCGGGAAAGGCACATAGGCCCAGTAAGTATAATTAGCTGCATCTGCTCCTGCAGTCACAGGGAGACTTACCACATTGATACAATCATCAAAGCTGCAGACAGCATATTCTCTGGAGTTCATTTTACCCTTGTGTTCTTCAGGCTTTTTTCAGCTAACTGTGTCAGCTTCTTTAATTGGGCCCAGGTCGGCGGCTCTGCTTTCTTGGTGGATGGCAACTTTATCTGTTCTTCTGATATCACCATTTTGTTTATCTGGCAAGTTGATGATGCTCGATTGTGGGTTTTCTGTCTCCGCAGAGGCGATTCTCTTTGCATCTCCGATGGGTTCATTGTAGAACTTTAAATGTCTAGTGGGTATCCAAACAGGAAGTTGATTTTCTCCTGGTGAAACACAGGCAAAGCCTCTCCACTATGTTATCACTTTCTCTATTTCTCATGTCTTATTTTTGTTGTCTTTCCACCAAATCAGTTTTCCTTCATGTGGTCCTTTTTTTTTTTTTTTTTTTTACCAGTAAAATGTTGCTCTGCAGAAGTAGTGGTCTGATTTCTATAAATGTTTAAAAAATTTAAAGTATGGAGTGCTAAATTAAGTTGCATCTGGGGAGTGTTACACTCCTTACTGTCTTTTTCCTTTTTTTGTTTCACCACCTGAGCTTTGAGTGTTCTATTAGTTTTTTCAATTATGGCCTGTCCTTGGGAATTAAAGGAGATTCATGTTGTATGTGTAATTTTCCACTGATTTAAGAATTTTTGAAATGTTTTACTACACTATCCTGGCCCATTATCTGTTTTAATATTTTTTGAACTCCCATGACAGCAAAACAAGATAACAGATGTCTTTTAACATGGGAAGTACTTTCTCCCAACTGGCAGGTTGCCCATACAAAATGTGAATAAGTATCAACTGTCAATGGACAAATGACAATTTTCCAAATGAAGGTACATGTGTGACATCCATTTTCCATAACGCATTAGGACACAGACCTCTGGGATTAACTCCTGCCTCCTGAATGGGCAGGTATAGGACTTGACACTGGGTGCAACGTGGTACAATATTTTTTGCCTGTTTCCATGTGATAGCAAATTTATTTTTTAGTCCTATTGCATTTACATGTGTCAAGGCATGAAGTTCTTGTGCTTCTATGAATGCATATGATTCTAGCAAGTCAGCTTGTTCATTTGCTTTAGTTAAAGGCCCTGGTAAATTAGTATGTGCTCGAATATGAGTAATATGAAATGGGAAATTTCTTTTTCTTACAGTTTGTTGTAACAAATTAAACAGCTGATTTAGCTGATCATCCATACTATATTTGATTAGGGCTGTCTCAACATCCTTTGTAGCCTGTACTACATATGCAGAATCTGATACAAAGTTAATAGGCTGATTAAAATCTTGTAACACTGAAATGACGGGCAACCAACTCTGCTCTTTGAGCTGAATGATATTGAGTTTCAATGACTCCTTTTTTTGGCCCAGTGTAAGTGGCTTTTCCATTGCTGGAACCATCAGTAAACACTGTCAGAGCATTTTTTAAAGGGTTATGTCTGGTAATTTTAGGTAAAATCCAAGTAGTCAATTTTAAAAACTGGAAGATTTTTGTTTTTGGGTAATGATTATCAATACTTCCCACAAAATCAGCAAGGCCAATCTGCCATGCAGCAGAATTGATAAAGGCTTGTCTAACCTGTTCCTTGTTTAAAGGAACAATGATTTTTATCTGGGTCACTTCCACACAATTTTATTATTCGTAATCTTGCCTGACCAATTAATGTAGCCATTTGATCCAAGTACAACGTAAAAGTCTTAATCGTACTGTGAGGAAGGAAAGATCACTCCACAAGATCTGTATTTTGAACAATAATGCCTGTTGGAGAATGTGCAGTAGCAAAAATCAAAAGTTGGAGTGGGGCTAAGTGATCTATTCTATTTACTTGTGCTGACCGAATTTTTTCTTCAATTAATTCAATTTCTTTAGTTGCATCTGGAGTTAATGTTCTTTTACTATTCAATTCTGGATCCCTTCTCAAGATAGAGAACAAATTTGACATGGCATAAGTAGAGATGCCTAGAGTTGTCCGAATCCAGGTAATATCTCCTAGCAATTTTTGAAAGTCATTTAATGTTTTTAATGTGTCTTTTCTTATTTCTATTTTTTGTGGTTTAATTTTTCTTTCTTCTACCTGCATTCCCAAGTAATGGAAAGGAGTAGAGGTTTGAATCTTATCAGATGCTATTGTCAGTCCTGCGTTTGTAACCTCTCTCTGCAGAAATGTGTAACAGTCAATTAATTTGTTTCTCGTTTCTGCAGTACACAAAATAACATCAACATAATGAATGATATGACAGTCTGAAAACTTGTCTCTAACTGGTTGAAGTGCTTGAGTTACAAAAGTCTGACAAATAGTCGGACTATTAAGCATTCCCTGAGGCAACACTTTCCTCTGAAACCTGGTAGCTTGTTCTTTATTATTTATGGCTGGTACAGCAAAAACTAATTTTTCAAAATCCTGTTTTGCAGATAAATGATTAAAAAAGCAACGCTCAGATCAATTATAATTAAAGGCCAATCTTTGGCGATAATGGCCGGAGAGGGCAACCCGGGTCGGAGAGCCCCCATAGGTTGAATTACAGCATTGAGGGCTCTTGAGTCAGTTAGCCTGAGCCATCTGCTGGATTTTTTCTGAATTACAAACACAGGAGAATTCCAAGGCGAAAATGAAGGCTCAATATGTTCCTTTTCTAATTGTTCTTTTGCCAATAAGTGTAAAGCCTCCAGCTTTTGTTTTGGTAGCGGCCACTGATTTACCTATACAGGTTTTTCTAAGTTAATGGAATGGGTTTTGGAGGCTCTACAGTGGCTACTCCTAAAAAGCATACCCTATTCCTTTTCTTTCTTGATTTCTCTCAACTTCAATTGGGACTTTAATGCCATCTCCATTCTTCCCTGGTCCTTTGCCAGGGAGATATCCCATTTTAGTCATGATGATTTTTTGACTCGTGGGGCTGTATAGAGAGGCTGGGATAGTAATCTCTGCATGCCATTGCTGTAACAAGTTTCAGCCCCATAAATTAATTGGAATAGAAGTAATCATAGGTTGAACCGTGTTTTTTGATTATCAGGTCCTAGACAATGTAAAATCATGGCACTTTGATACACTTCTGAGGCGATGCCCACACCGACAAGTCCTGTAACAGGCTTTTGTTTAGTCTATTTTTTTTGGCTATTGATTGAGGGCTCCCTGAAGTGGTGGTATTTGCTGTGGGGGTTGCTGTCCCTGAAAACTCTGAGGAACAAATGGCTGAATCAGGAATGCCCCAGTTGGTTGCAGGGCCCGAGGCTGGCTCTTCATTCTGTTTCCCGACAATAGTTGCCCATTTTAATCAAATTTAGAATGACATTGATTAGCCCAATGTTTTCCTTTTCCACATCTTGGACACAGGCCAGGTGGCTCTTTATTTTTACTCTGTTTATTTAAGACTGGGCAGTTCTTTTTTAGATGATGGATTTGACCACAATTATAACATTTCCCCCAAATGTTCTAACTTATCCTCCTAAAATGACTCCCATCATTGCTTGAGCCATTAGCATTGCCTTAGGCATAGCTCCTCCAATCCCATCACAAGCCTTCACATACTCTGTAATTACATCAACTCCTGCTGGAACTTTTCCTTTTAATGGCTTTATGGCCGATTGACATTCTGGATTTGCATTTTGATAAGCCATTAGTTCTACAATACCTTTTTGGGCGTTATCATGTGAAATAGATTTTTCAGCGGCATCTTGCAACCTTGCCACAAAGTCTGGATATGACTCTTTAGAGCCTTGTTTAATTGAATTAAAAGAAGGGCAAGTGGCTCCTGGATCCTGATTTTTTTTCCCAGACCCTGAGGCAATTAGCCCTTAGTTGTTCAATAGCCTCATTCTACATTACCGATTGTTGGTTAACGGTGCTCCAATTTGGACCTGTTCCTAGCAATTGGTTGGCATCTATATTAACAGCAGGATAAGTATCCTGATTTCTTCGTACCTGTTCTTGTACTCCATCAATCCACAAGGTTTTAAATTGTAGGAACTGAGAGGATGAAAGGGAAGATTTAGCCAAAATTTCCCAAACTTAAGGAATAAGTTTATTTCCATGAGCAAGGGGATCTAATAATGTTCTCATATAAGGGGAGTTGGGTCCATATTGTTAAATTCCTTCTTTCATATCTTTTAACATCTTCATGGTGGAAGATTAATATCTAGCCTCAGTTGGGATAGACGCTCCTTCTTGACTCCCTTTCCCGGCAGATATTGGTTGTAAAATTATCGGGAACTGCCATGCCTCAAGATCTCCCTGTTTTCTGGCTTTATCAATGATTTCATGCAGTGTACTACTGTGGCCACTAGGTGGTAGTGTAGGATTAAACATCACCGCCATGGCTTGCTGGTATGGGGCCTTGCTATTTGGCGAAGGACACACCACTTGAGGTCTGCATTGAACCTCTGGAGATTGCCCGTACTGAAGCACAGCTGGCGGCCAGTACTGATAAACTACCGGTGGTTGGGTTCTATTTCACAGCGGCTGATATTGTGGATATTGTAGTTGGATTGGCATTGCCAGGATAGAAACTCTATTCTGTTCTACTTGATATTATCTTGGGGTTTGCACTTGGGGTTTGCAACCTGAATTTCAGGTTGCAACGTTACAGATCAACAGCATCTAAGGGCAAAGCAATTGCTTAGGATAGAGGTCAAAATGGAGTTTCTTACGGCATCCATTTCCACATAGACATGCTAACAGTCTGATCTCTCCTTCTTTTCCCTATAATCTCTCAGAAACTGTTTAGCAGGTGAAGGTGCGGGATCCACCCATACCTCACCAGATTGCATCCTCCCCCATATGACCTAACTGGTGCTCACATTCTTTGTCCACAGAATGAAATCCCAAGACCATCACGAAGTGAAGTGCCTGCTCGGTTAGGAACAGAATTCGAGGGGGATTCGAGGAGCCCTGAGCACAGGACTGCTAGGGTCTGGCCCCGGTTTGGCCACAGGAAAAAGAGACACTTGGAGGTTTCTCTTATCGGGTGTGCTGTGCTCTCTTCTTTCTAGAAGAGTTGCTGCTTTGGAGGGGGAGGTGCTTTGGGCTCCTGCGAGCCTCAGTCAACCCCCAACTCACCGAGGATTCAGGAACCACGGAAAAAAAAACGACACGGAGACCCGCAGAACAAGAAGAGACTCACAAGGAGGCTAACCAGAAGGTGGGGCGACTCGAGGGGAGAAAGTAAAACTAATTTTAACAAAAGGGCTGCAGTGATTGAGCCATATTCCTTTCAGCAGACGCCACGTACACGCAAAAAAGCACACACACACACACACACACACACAGCTCACCCGGAATTCAGGAACCACGGAAAAAAATAAAGAACATGGAGACCCGAACCCAAGAAGAACCGCACAGAGAAGCGGACCAGAAGATCGGGCGGCTCAGGGTGGGGGGGAACATAAAATGAAAAAAAAAAATAAGGGCTGCAGTGCTTGAGCCATATCCCTATCAACAGACGCCACGTACACGCACACAGCACACAGGCCCACACAGACACACGCCCACACACACGCGCGGGCGCATACACACACACACCCCCC